ATAACACATCGATATAGGATCAACAAGTCGTCTACAAATACGCGAAAATAGAACTACACGAATTACACAAAGTTGTGACAGGGAATTTGAATTCTTCGGGTACTCAGTTTGGATTATCGTGTCCCGGTGAGTAGGAGCTGCTTTTTACCTTCCGAGCGCGACAAAGTAGTTGTACGACTCGTCACCGGGTCGTACGTATCGCTGAGTCCCCACCGCTGTCCCCGGAAAATTTAGCGCGGAAGAAAAGAAGAAGAAAGTTCGAGAACGCAGGAGAGGTTATAAAAAAACTCCGGGTGTTGTGTGGAGAGGATCTTGCTTCGTGTGTCATTTGACGCGTGCGTTGACAACAGTTGTCCAGCGAGGGAAAATTAGAGAGAAAAGTAAGTAATTGAATTCTTAAGGCTTCACGAGTGGAACGAAGCGATTAATTTTTATTGTCTTGTACCCTTTTTTTAAATTTGCTTGTCGCTAGGCCATTTTGGCTAGCGAGTCTTGGTTAATTGAAATATTTATTTACTGGAATTTCTAGGAGAAATTATCAAACGTTAGATTGAGAGCTGGGAGTAAATTAGTGACACGAGTTCCGAGAGTTTTGGAAGTCGGCGGACGCAGTGGAGCGGATCTCGCCATTTTTTATCTGCTGGGACAAAATTTCACAGCTGGATAGGAGTATCAGCCGTCGTTGGAGAGCAATAATCGAGTATCCAGGTCATTTTAATTATTTTAGGCCAAATTATTTATTAAACTAAATAAAGGCTAAAATAATTAAAATATAACTATCGAGAGACCATCTTATGTTAGCGAGTTTTGTACTTGGAATTTCTTTTCTTGTCAAGGTCAATTAGCTAGTTTGTCAATAAAAAAAAATTTATAAAGAAAGAATTAAGATTTAGAGATCAATTAGAAATGTCCAGTAATTAAATTAAGAATTAATTTATTATAGGCCTCTTGGCTATAATAAATAAATTTATTGACAAAATTTTCAAAACAGAAAAAAGGAAAATGCGTAATTAAGTCAGTTAAGATCATTCTAGTATGTTCTATAGTAGAAAATTTTGTATTGAGACGCTAAGATATTAACAGTTGATGTTAGAATTTTGTTTAGAAAAGATTTAATTTAGTAAATTTTGTAACGAGTTCAGTAGAATTTTTTAATTGTAAATATTAGCAGAAATTTAGTAAGTGAACTAGTACAGAAATTTAGTGATTAATTAATTTAGTTAAATTTATTTGCAGTAAATCAGTGTTGAAGTTAAATTAAGTAGATTATGATAATATTGTAAGTTTTGGAAAGTTTAATTTAGGCCGGTGGATAATGTAATTGAATTGTTAATTTAGAAAAGGTGCAAAATAAATTTATTAAGAAATTGTTTGAATTTAAAGATAATTTATTAGAAAATTTCGATAAAGTAATTCGGTAAATTTAGTAAATTTAGTAAATCTGAAAATTGGATTTTATTTATGAATAATTGTTGAGAGGTTATTTAAGAAGATTTAAGAAATGAGTTTAGAAGATATTAAGAATTAAGAATTTACGAATTTATTCCGCCCAATGAGGAGGGTTTCAAGTAATTAAGGAATAGAAGATAGACGCGTAATGGTCTATAATTGAGTTAAGAAATTAATAAGATAGATGCGTAATGATCTATGTTTAAAAGAATTTAATGATATTTAGTTTATAAGGATTTTTGGCAGGTGCCTGTTGAGAAAGCGTTTCTCGGAAATTTATAATTGGATTTGGACTGTGAAACAGTTGGTTATTTGTAATATTTTAAGATTTATTTATTGTTCAATAAAATCGATTAACGAGAGAAAATTGTCCTCAGTATTTATTTTCAGCCTATCTCAACTTCTCACGACCCGACTTTCTTGCTCGTGCTCTTCCGGTTTCTGGGACACCGCGAAAATAATCCCAGTGGCGCTCTTTTCATAAGGAAAGGGGTGACCAATTGAACAGGGTTAACCACCCCGTTACATTTGGCGCCCAACTACCTAACAACCCCTGAGAAGTTGGGAAGGATAAATTTGTACTGAGGAGTAAATTTTTAAGATGAAAAATTTTTTTTTGGATGAATTTGAGTCTTGTCAAAAATAAAATAAAAATCCGGACAAAAGTTGGGGGATTAAGATAAGAAAGACTGAGTAAAGTAATGTCAAATTAAAATAGAGAGTTTAGTTCTAAAAATAGATATTTCCCTTGTAGAGAAATATTGTAAGTGAACACTAATCCATTTTATGTGTCTTCTGGGAAAAATAAATTAAGTAAAATTTTACTTTTAAGTAAAAGAATCTTATCTTGGCTAAAATCAGTGGGGATTATTTTTACTTGAAGCTAGCATTTTTAAAATTTAACTTTTGACAAGTTTAATAATCTTTCTTTTTTTGTCGTAGTTATTTTCACACAAACAAGACATTAGTTTAAACATGAGTGACCCTCATATGAATGATATACCACCGGAGAGACGCAGACTGTCTGCAGGCCACGAGCAAAACCGGTTCAACACCATGGTGAACCCAGGCTCTACAGGCACATTCTCACCAATTCCAACCTTGACAACAACTACAACTACGACTTCAACAGTCACAACTACGATGAGTAGCAGAGTCTCTGATAATTCAACAATCCAGCGTTCCTCACAGGCCAACGATGAGTTACTCCAACAGAGTACTCCGGCTGGAGGCGTTATCCAAAACAGGAACCAATACTCTGCACCTCCAGGAGACCGTCGTTCAGAGGAAATCAATTTACCTCCTGATATGCAAAGAACTTTCAACCGCTTAGACCAAGCAACAGAAACAGTACGCCGAATGAGCACTGAACAGAGGACTATAAATCAAGAAAATTCTCTAGCCATTAATCGCCTGTCTCAGATATTGGAAGATGTGGTCCATTCTCAACGTGATTTGATGAACAGAATTGGCAGCCGTGACAATTCCTTATGGTCAAATTCTCCAGTGGATTCTAACGTTACTGATTGTCAACTACAGGGTACAACCCTAGCCCCTCCGGGTCAAGGTTTGGCAGGGGGGGATGGGACAGCCCATCTGTCTGTCCCGAGTAACCAACCAGAAAATAATAGAGACGGAACTGAGGCGGATCAAAATGTTCCTTTATCAGAGAGAATTAATTTCCTGAATCACCAGCTCAATCAGCTTCAACTTGCCCAGAATCAACAACAGACAGGTCCAAGAGGTGACTCTCCGTTTCATAACCAAGATAACTTTGGACGAAGGTCAGGCCGCGACCCCCAAGGCCATTACACAGGGCCGGGGATGGCTCCACCTCCGTTCCAAAGCTCATATTATAATTACAACAGAGGCACCAGGTATTTCATGGACGAAAGAAGGCGTAAAGATATTTTATCAAGCTTGAAGCTTGGTAATCTGGTTTTCCTGCAAGAAGGAACGTCCGTCGAATAATTTCTTTGCGCAGTCGAAAGCAGAGCACATCGTGAAGGCTGGACTGAGGATGAAGTGCTGGGCTCCATGGGGTACATGCTCCAAGCAACACCAGCACGCTGGTTTGACAACAACTACCAGCGCTGGGGTTCTTATATGCAATTCAAGATGGAGTTTCGTAAGGCTTTTGGTAGCACGACGACGGATTACCAAATAATTCATGATATTGGTAAATTAACGATGAAACCGGGGGAAAATGTCACGGAGTTTGTATTAAAGGTTCAACAGAAATATTTGACTATGACGAGTCCTCCATCCATAGTGGACCAAGTGTCAAATATTAGAAATCATTTGACAGATGAACTTCAAACTCTGGTCTTTTCTAGGCCGGTCTACTCCTATGAAGACCTTCTGAACGCCCTACACGAAGCTTCGAGGTGCATTGAAGAGGCTGCACAGCCTTCCCAGACTCAAAAAACAGTTAAATTTCAAGATAAACCTAGATTTGGGACAATGGAGCAGTCCAATATGAATGAAAACTACCAGGAAGTGGAACCGGAACTACCGGGCTGCAGTGCGATAGCATCACCAACCACATCGTACAACAATAGGTATGGGGTTCAAGTCAGAACTAATCAGAATTACTATCGCCAGCCTTTTAGGCCTCAGTCTCCGAGATTTCCGAGACCATACCACAACTGTGGTCTCCTGGGACATTCTTTTGATGTCTGTGTAAATCCCAGACAAGACATTTGCAACAACTGTCTCGAAATTGGTCATACCAGACAGAATTGTCCATTGCTGGTGAATGATAATCGTCCAATAAGTCCTCCGGCTAATCTAAACCCTAGTGAACAAAGTAGTGAATCGAGAGTTGAACAGGAAAGGAAAAACTAACTCCACCTGTCCCGAATTCCCCTTCGGTCCAGGTCATTCAAGGAGCAACATCGGGGTCTAGTAATGATTTGTTAAACAAGACATCTGGCTACTCAGAACTAGGACAGGCCGTTAGGCTTCCTTGCTCTGAAGCAGGCCCACCGGAATTTACTACGATATTGTCTACTAGCACAGGCAACATCAATCAACTAATCTCCTGGGTTGAAGATGATCGACCAGAAGATCAACCAGTATTTCTTCAGCAGGTCCTGAGGGTATTTGAAGATTCTAGTTTTAATATAATTAATACTGATGGTAATATAAATACTAATTGTAATTTAATTTCTCTAGCAGTGGATCAGGAGAACAATGAACCTGGAACTTCGTGGGAAGATGAACTCCACCCAGGTTTCGAGGTTGAAGATGATAAGACCCGGCTGTGGTCCCAAAACACAGGCCTTGAAGGCTGGTTCTCGGATCAACAGGCCCCGAATAATATACCGGAAACGACATCTATAGCAACTTTCATTCCGAGCACACTCCAGGGTGGTCCTTTGTCAACTAAAATTAACTACAAGTTGGCAGAGAGGAAAATTTTTATCCCAGGAACAGGTCCCAGGCCTCCAATTATTACGGCTAGGATCCCTGTCTCCTTGTGGATATTTTGAGTTACGCTAGGTGGTATTTTGGACACTGGTAGCGAGAGATCGTATATCAATAGCAGTATGTATGAGGATATTCAGGAACTTGCTTCAGGAAAGCTCAGGGCAGATGAAACCCTGAAGCGAGGAATTTTGCTGGCGAATCACACTGAGTGTAAAAGTCAAGGTGGAGCGCCATTCATTATCCAAATCGCTTCGGTTGCCGGAGAACAGTATCTGAGTGTCCTCAATGATCTTAGTCATCCAATAGTTTTGGGCATGGATTTTGCTCTCCAATTTGGAGTGATAATTGACAGCAAAACTAGGACCTGGCGATTCAGTGGCAGCCCAGAGTTTTACCCATTTGAGTTGGTCTCTTGTAAAGAAAGAAGCTCGGACTGTGCTGAAATTACTTCAGAGCAAGATCAAGACTCCCAGGAGTTCCTCAGAGGCGAGTTGGAGAAATTCAAGGATTTACCAACCCAAGGACTTACCAATATTATTGAACATGAAATAACATTGAAACCCGAGGCTATTCCCGTAAGGATCAGGCTATATCGGAGGAGTCCAGTGGTAAATGAGGAATTAAATAAACAGATCGACGAGCTTTTGTAGAAAAGGTTCATTCGACCGAGCTGCAGCGTATGGTCGTGCTCTCCAGTCATGGTGTCTAAAGCTAACAACACCTGGAGGTTTTGCGTGGATTATAGGCCTATCAACAAGGTCACCATACCTCCAGCTCATCCGCTACCCAACATGCTGCGGATATTGAGTGCTCTTCACGGAGCAATTTGGATTAGTACCATGGATTTAAAGGAAGCTTTCCACCAAATGTGTATGGCTCCCGAGTCTATTCCTCTTACCGCTTTTTCTGTGGAAGGACGAGGGCAATTCGAGTGGCTCCGAATGCCTTATGGTTTGGTTGGAGCTCCTAGCACATTTCAAAAGGCCATGGATGAGCTGAAGGAGCGTTTTCACCAGAAGCTTATTGAAAGATCTTTGCCTATGAGCTGGATTGATCAGGTCTTCGCATACTTAGATGACTGGATTGTTATCAGCACGACGCTGGACGAGCACAAAAATATCTTGAGTTTGGTGTTTGAAGTATTCAGAGAGGCTAATTTATTGATTAATCCGGAGAAGTCAAAATTCTGCCGTCCAGAAGTTAAGTTCCTGGGTTTCATTGTTAATAAGGATGGTCTTCATCCTGATCCGGAAAAGATAGCTCCAGTGGTCAATTTCCCTCGACCTACGAACCGTAAACAGCTGCGCAGCTTCTTGGGCCTAGTCAATTGGTATCATCGCCATTTGCAGGATGTAGCAAAAGCGCAAGGACCGCTGAATAAGCTGACTGGAGTAAATTCCGAGTGGAAATGGGGGGATCAGGAGGAGCAGTCTTTCCAACAGTTGAAGCAGGCCTTGGTGGACGCTCGTCGACTGGCTATTCCTCAGTTGGGACTTCTGTATTATTTGTACACGGATGCGTGTGATACTGGATTGGGAGCATTCCTGGTTCAAAAAGATCTAGACACAGGGAAGGAATATTTGATTATCTGTCTCAGCCGACCACTTCGGGGTGCCAAGACTCGATATACTACCACCGAGAAGGAATGCTTGGCAGTTGTGTGGGCCGTGCGTAAGCTCCGCTGTTACCTGGAGGGTGCTCCATTCACAGTCGTGACCGATCATGCGTCGCTGAAGTGGCTGCATTCGCTACGAGACCCTAATGGAAGACTCGCAAGATGGGCAATAGAGCTCCTCTCTCATCAGATTACTATTGAACACCGTAAGAGGACTGAAAACGAAGGTCCAGATGCTTTATCCCGGATGTATGAGGACCAAGACCCAGTAGACTGGCTGGATGTGAAGAAAGGCCTTGGTAACACCGGCTGTCTTCAACTCCAGTTAGCAGATTGGTACGAGAAAAAACTTAATTATGTCAGAAGGAACCCTGAGAACTTTCCTGATTGGAGAATAGTCGACGACCGTCTAAATTATCATCGCCCGGATCCTTTAAAATCGATTGTTAGGGATGATACGGCTTGGAAACTAGTCCTGAAGGATTCTGAGGTTCCCGAGATCCTGAAAAGGAATCATGAAGATCCTGATGCGGCGCACTTGGGTCGTGATCGGATGTACAAACGCATCAAAGTACGGTACTACTGGCCAGGCATGTGGCGGGATGTCGACGAGTTTGTGGAGGCCTGTGAGGTATGCAAGAGGGTTAAATATAAACAAACTTCATCGAAGGCACCTATGCAGACCAGACAACCTATCCAGCCCTGGGCCGTAGTGGCTGCGGACATTACAGGCCCATTTACCAGGTCTCGGAGAGGTCACCAGTATGTGTTGGTGATTCAGGATCTGTACACCCGGTTTATTGAGTTACACCCATTACGTCGTCACACTGGGGCTACGGTTGTTGATGCGATGAAGCGGACATTCTCTCTGAGGGGTTATCCATTATTTTTAATAACAGATAACGGCAGAGAGTTTGTCAATGATACGCTTAAGGAATATTTGAGAGCAACTGGAGTAAAATTTACTCCTCTGGCAGTCGCACACCCGCAGGCCAATCCAGTGGAGAGGATTAATAGGACTTTAAAACCGATGATCCGAGCATATATCGACAAGGATCAGTCCAGGTGGGATGAACACCTGGGGGACTTTCAGTTGGCCTATAACAGTTCATACCATGCTGCACTGAAGCTTTCTCCGTATTTTTTGGTCCATGGTCAAGAGCCTCGGCTGTCGGGAAACTTAACTGAGTCTGAACTGGGTGATCTTGATTTAGACCAGGATGAGTGGAAGCAACGAGTTAGTCGCTTGGACGAACTCAGACATAAAATTGAGAATAAGATGCAGAGAGAGAGTGAAAGACAGGCTAGGTATTATAATCAAGATAGGTCAATACCGGAAGTTCAGGTCGGGGATAAAGTTTTCTATCCGAACCGCAAACTTAGTAGTAAAGCTCAGGGTTATAGTGCTAGTCTGGGAAATAAATATCTTGGTCCGGCCACGATTTCTAGAGTAGTTAGTCCGTTAGTCGTAGAACTAGTTAACGAGTCAGAGAAATTAGTAGGCCTTCATTATACTCCCGCTCATAAACTCCCTCGTAGAAGTGATAGACTAGCGAATAAGACAAAGAATTAAAAAAAAAAAAAAAAAAAAAAGGACCTGTGTTATTTAGAAATTTGCAGATATTGGTTTTTACAGATGGAGCGCCAGGGACGACGTTCCCGAGGAGTTGGCAGAGCAGAGATGATGAGAAGGTGTGCCAGTCGCCGAGAAGTGCCTAGGTTTGGTCGGGCATATGGAGTAGCGCGTCGAGCCACCAGGGCTCAGTCTGGTTCATTCCAGATCGGCATCCTCAGTGAACCTCCAGCAGGGAGAGTTAGAGCTCCAAGCCGATCAGCCTTTGATCGACTTGGTCCAGTGATTTCCCCGAGCCGATCATCCGCTCCAGGAATGACTGAGCAGAGTGGGGGACGGTTGCCGTTTCGTGATTTGGCAATCACACTTCATGTGGATTCGGAGCAGGCCGCTGGGCTACCCGATCCTCGGCCAAGTGTTCAGCTGGCTTGCCCAGGTTTGATAGCAACTGAAGCGCCCGAAATAAATAAGAATTCTCCACCAGCAACTCTTGAATCAACCGTGGAGCCTGTCGCCGAAGCCCCAAAACGGCGTACTAAGGAACAGAAACGTCGTCAGTACCGAAAGCAGAAGCTGCGCGAGTTGCTGGACCGACCCGACGCTAGTCCAGAGCGTTTGAAGAATTTATGCCGGCACCTGACAGGTAGCTCAACTGCTGCCCGGCGTTACTTGAGTGGGAATCAACCGTCTCACTTTCACCCCGAGAACTCTACAACTGAGGAGTTACGTCCGGAGAAACGGCAGCTGGAGGTGTTGGAGTCTGTTCCGGAAATAGCTGATCAGCAAGAGGAAGCTCGTGGTCTTCCGATCCTTCCTGAAGCCGAATACTCGCCACCGAGACCTCGTGTAGAGGGACTGGCTGAAGCGAACGTTCAGGGGGTAAGACCTGAAGTCTCGGGAAACCAGGTTCAACAGGTACAGAAAAAGAAGAGGAAGAACAGGAGGAAGAATAAGGAACGAGGTCCCGACTAGGCTAACATGGAGATGTGCGGACCAGATCTAAGCAAGGACGACGTAGCTGCTGGGGATTCTGGGTGCGAGTCCGACGACGTTCTAAAAATTCACCCAAGCTCGGGTGATGAGCAGATGTAGTTGAGCGTTGTCCTGGATAATAAAGCTCGTTCTTTTCTAATTGTTTCTTTTAGTGATTTGAAGCACCTCGCCGTATCCTATCCTTGGGTGTCAGGCCTCTGTGATGTGCACGCCCGGGTGACCGTCTGGCAGGGGGGAGTGTGACAGGGAATTTGAATTCCCGCGGTACTCAGTTTGGATTATCGTGTCCCGGTGAGTAGGAGCTGCTTTTTACCTTCCGAGCGCGACAAAGTAGTTGTACGACTCGTCACCGGGTCGTACGTATCGCTGAGTCCCCACC